CACGGGCTGTTGCATGCCCTAGATTGTCGGCGCGGGGAGGGGTCGGTGGGTGCTGCCACGGTCGTGGCGGGGCTGCGTTGGTGAAGTATGTCGACGTCTGCGAACGGGGGTGAGAAAACTCGGCGGCCGAAGAGGTTGATAGGCACCGGCCCCTGTGATCGTTGACTGGAGAGAGATTACCAAAAGTAGTTATCCCTGAATTTAAGACGGTTTAGTGTTTGTATACTGTAAAGGGTGAGAAACATCGAATTGAGTTGAACTTATATCCTGACAATGTTTATATATTTCAAGTTGCTTAGTAAGATGTGGTTCAAAAACATTTTCAGTCACGGACTATATGCGCAGATTCAAAATATAAAATTGGCATTTGTGGAAGTTATTTTAATTCAAATGAGGAGAGAAAATTTGCTGTGCTGTATGCACGCCTTGCTGCGCGAAAAGCTCGTTGGAGCCGATATAACACTGGTTATAGACACGCAGCGTTGCCTCGCGCCTCGATAATGCACAGCGTATCGATCATTTTTTGTTTTGTTTTTATTTCGGTGCCTGCATAAAACGGCAGTCCCCTGCGTGCGAGCACACTATATCCACTGCAGCTCGAGCGCTGCGACATTTTTTGACCACTTGGCCTCTGCATTACTCGTTTCGCCTACATTCCAATATAATGTCCAATGTATATATGCACATGTATATGTATAAATATACATATATATATATATATATATATATATATATATATATATATATATATATATGTGTGTGTGTGTGTGTGTGTGTGTGTGTGTGCGTGTGTGTGTGTGTGTGTGTGTGTGTGTGTGTGTGTGTGTGTGTGTGTGTGTGTGTGTGTGTGTGTGTGTGTGTGTGTGTGTGTGTGTGTGTGTGTGTGTGTGTGTGTGTGTGTGTGTGTGTGTGTGTGTGTGTGTGTGTGTGTGTGTGTGTGTGTGTGCGTATTTATGCATGATCATGCTTGACAAAAATATAAACAATGCCAAATGCCAAAACTCGACCCTACTGCGCACTGTGTTTGACAGCAGCATCGGACGGACGTGAATTGATGTCACGGATCTTCGAGAAAGCAGAACACGCTGTACGCGTGAGTTGCACGGCAATCTGTGCACCCATTTTTCCGTATTCTTGCCCAAAGAAATGCCGACAGACATGCAGACAGACGGACAGACAAAAAGTGTGCTCTCGAAAGTAAGTTAATTCTAATTTGATTGATCTTTGTAAGGTAATCCAATTGTAATGCGATGTTCAAAGAATGCTCTCACAGCAATAGGAAGATATTCACTTCAGGGCAAAAAAACTGACGCCAAAGGCTAGCTGTCACAATTACGTCACCTGTGGCACAAGGGCCGAAATGATCGCCAGCCGCGCGCGTTCATTATCGCTATTCGACAGGTTACTTGAATCGGTAAATATCTGTACGCGTCAGCATTTGGCTCGGCGCCAGAACAAGGTGAACTGCATCAGAAGCGAGTGGCAATTATTTGTCACCTCTTATTGCCGCCTTCCGCATAGCTCCTTATCACTGACCACAAAGCTCAATGCCGCCGTCCACATAGCCACCTGTTTCCAGACAGCCGGATCATTTCACGCTTGTCTCCATTGGCTCCAGCGTCGCTTTTGTCGCATCACGAAAGGGGGCAACGGAGCTGTGTTAAGCCTGACACCTGAACTACGGGCTTCGCTGACGATCAATACCGATCAATACCGATCAATACCGATCAGAGATCGATCGAACAGACCCCACCCCGCCTTCTGAGCCCACCCCGCTCTGCTCGGTGTCGGTAGCGAACCTGGCGGCGTTGGGCGGCACTTCAGCGGCAACTCTACCCCTCCTCCCCCATCCCTCCCTCAAGTTACAGGGAGCGAGCAATGGCTGGATCTGACGCTTGCTCTACGAAGCTGGATTGCGAGATGCAGTTGTAGTTTGTAAGGTGCTTGCGTGCAACAGTTACAGCACATTGCCATGCGCACACAGGTATACGGCGGAACATGAGAATAGGAAAAAAGTTACTCTTTTGTACTGCGTTACGTGCTGGCAACTCAGAGTTTTGACTTGGTGTTATTTCGGCGTGTGTATATCATCACCATACAGGCTAACGATTCCCAGTAAGTGAGACCAGCCCCTCCCTACTCCCCCCCCCACAACACACACCTGTGCGTACACTTGGCGGACCACAGTCCTACACTTCAGCCCGAGCTCATACTCGTTTTCTTCCGTCCTTTTTACGCCTGCGAATGGCCCCAACTGTGTTGACCTGCCAGTGGAAGTTGCCATATGCTCAGCGTGGCCTTGGGATATCGGGGAGCCTGGATTTCTCGGAAATGCACCGTCTAACTAGAAACAGAACGGGCGTGCGCGAGGTTCTGCATCTCTAACTGCTGCGACACTGGTGTCCATGCAGGGAATAGGGAAACTTAAACCGCTTTCAAACGGCACGATTTCTAGAGCGAGGAGAGGACTGGCATTGTATGGCCCTCTTTATAACCCCGCGAAATGCACAGGTACAGAAATATTCCACCCTCGGATGACATGGCTTCCGAGCATAGCAATGCAGCACGATAGCATGAATACAGCCATAATGCTGGTAGGCTGTAGCGGCCATAAAGCTGCCTTACCCTCCACCCCATCCCCCACCCCATCTTCCCTTAGGCCTGCGATAACACTAATGCTGTGGAAACAATGCTGCACATGAAGAATGAACGCTGAGAAAAGACAATAGTTGGACGAGGAGATTCCACACTCGTGTAGGTGTGCCCCTGAACCAAATTTCAGCAGGTTCAAGCTCTGAACAATCGGAGAACAACGGAATGCAATGCGCTGCAATGGACGGGTATGGAATGCGTTGCACCCGGCCTCAGCCTCTGCAATCTGACGCTCGTTGATCAAACTCCGCTGCAATCTGAGTCCTGCCTGACACGCTGTAGGTGCATTGTGTTATCTCTCAGCATAAGACCATAACTCCCCTCATGTCAGGAGTACACGTTAACCATGTCTGAGCTCCCGCAAACTCGGGCCAAATTCCTCCCAAATCACTCAGCATCCAGTGAAACCTCTCGGCCTACGGGGTCATCGCCGCGCCTCCGCCCCATTGGCTGCGTGCGTGCCCACGCCCCGCCTACGCGCCGGCCAGCGCCTGCGGCAGTCGCTGCGCCGGTCTGCAGGCTCCACCGGTATGCAGCCCCACCGGTCTGTAGCCTCCGCGTCATGCCCTGCATCTGCAGCCAGAGGGCCACGGCCGGCCGTCTGAGCGCGCCGACCGGCTCTGCTCTCGGTCGGCTGTTGCTTTTGATAATAAATACGGCCTCCGGCGGGCGTTTTTGTATGACGCACGCGCCTCGGCTCGCGCGCGCGGTTTATTTAGGAGCTGAGAAAAGCGCGCGTCGGGCGTTTGCTAAGGGAGGAAAGTTCGCATGGACCAACGATGGGTCTACCGTGGATCTCGCGTGGACCTACGATGGGTCTACTGTGGATCTCGCATGGACCTACGACGGGTGTACCGGGGATCCCGCATGGAAGTACGACGGGTCTACCGTGGATCTCGCGTGGACCTACGATGGGTCCACTGTGGATCTCGCGCGGACCTACGATGGGTGTACCGTGGATCTCGCACGGACCTACGATGGTCTATCGTGGATTTCGCATGGACCTACGGTGGGTTTACCGTGGATCTCGCATGCACCTATGATGGGTCTGCTGTGGATCTCGCTTGTACCTGCTGCGCTATGACCGGTTAAGTCCTGTCTGTTTTTAGTCTGTTTGTCCTGTCTGTTTTTAGTCTGTTTTTTCTGTTGTTAGTCTGTTTTTGGTCTCCACAGTTGTGTTTTGCCCTGAACTGTCGCTTGACGTCATGAAGTTTGCTTCTACTACCGGCAGCGATAATTTTGATATGTACGTGACATGTTGATTTATTTTCTAAGGATAACCTTCTCGTTAACTTTGCGTTTGGTGAATGTTAGCTCGGGCCATTTACCGGTGATTGACCCACGATGTGAATAAAGTAACTGATATGTAAAAAAGTAAAATGAAACGACAGAACAAATCATATGTGGCATGTGAAGCTTGCTTGGCACCTAGAAAGCACGCTAACGTACCGTGGGGGGATGAGCACGGGTCGTTGAAGGCCTGTCAACCCGCCCTCTTCATCCCTTGATTCCTGACTCCTGCTTAACCCTTACAATGCTTTATCTCGTCGCAAGCCATAGTCATAGTCATAGACATAGTCATAACCGAAGTCATTGTCCCTTGTTATTAAGATTCATTCACGCCACGACTACTGTGAAAACGTTAAAAAATGAATCAATAAACTAAAAATAAAAATGTTCGGCAGTACGCTGAAAAATGTATGTTTCGGATCCGTGACGAACGCAGCCAGTTTCTAAACGTCACGTTCAAGCCAAGTTCATGCCGCTCTAAACCCAAATGCTTGTTGCGCTCTTGTTGGCACGCAGTTTGGGAGCTCCGGCATCCCAGCCGCCACGGTACCGAGCCTGAGCACGCCTGACGAAAATAGCCCTAATTGCAGGTACACGGAATGTTGGTCACGGTTGCTGGCGCCATCTGATCTGCTGTTCGCCAGCCTAACGACGCCGCCACGGGGAGCATGCTGTCTCCGCCCGCTCACGTGCACGCGCTGAAAGTCGGTCCCAACGGCTGCCGTTGACCTGGTAGCCGCCAGCTGTGTGTCGACTTGCAGCCGAGCGCATTAGAAATGCCCGCTCCGGCACCGACTGACCTCGTCTCGCGCGGCGGTTACCTGCACCCAGCGCCCGGCGACTGGATTATATGCCGCCCGCTAGCGATCCCTGGAGCCTTGTGCTGATAATAGCTAAGCACGGTCACATGGGTGCCGTAAATAACGCTCCTTAACTTACTCCCACGGGTCTGTGGTGGTCATGCGCTGTCGAAAAGGCTCGACCCAGGCCGCCTCGAAATACAAAATTTCGCGACCTGGTCGCAAGGTATGCGACCGTCTGCACGAGCGGCTACTTACACAGTCTGTACTCCGACCTCGCCAGCTGGCTGCTCATTTTGTTCTTGGACGTACAGCACCCCATGTCTGCGGTCACGCGTCCCCTCCGACTTCGGTCACCTGGCTGTCACAAGTAGGTCACAGGCACTAGGTCCGGCATGGCACTAGGTCCGGCACAGCGGCCGGGGCGCCACAGCCATCACGGCGCTGTCGGCCACAGATGTCGACGCCGGCCGCCACGCACGTGCGTACCCCGAGCGCGCGCGGCCGTCAGCGAGGGGCAAAAGCCGCAGGCGAGTAGCCGGCGGGGTGGACGGGCGGCGGCCAGCGGCGGCTTCTCCGCAGTGGAGGTGCCCAGTCGGCCGCCCACGGCCTGGGCGGGGCCGAGCTGAAAATAAACACAGCTGCCGCCTGACGTGTGCCCTGCCGCCACCGACGAGAGAGGGGAGGGGCAGGGAGGGGGGGGGGGGGGGTAGCCGCTGCCCATCTCAGGCAACATCAACATAGCGTGTAGCCAAATCTAGTGCGATATGGCCTATTGCCATAGACAGGGGGTCAGAGGGTCAGCTGTTATATTGCATGTGTGCCTTTTATGGCACTACTTTGGTACGTTTGGTGGGGTGGCTCCGTAGTTGATACGAAATTCAGGCGTTGTGTTGCCGTGCCGACTTTGAGACACTAGGCAGCTGATCATGCCGACGACAGCACTCTGTTGCTGTTTAAAGGGCACAAGCTGAGAAGGGAGCACATTTCGGGAAAGGAAATGTATATGCCAGCGCAATGAGCCCAAACACATGAGTCTTAATACGCACCCGGATAGGCCAATTTTTTACAGAAAAATTACGAACGGTGCGGCGTGGCGGTGTGGTGCGGCGTGGTTGATTAACTGTACAAAGCAACTGAATGGCGGATCTCTTCATATAAAAATGAGATGTACCTTGTAAGGTCAGTGACTTATGACAAATCAGCTGTATGCCAAGGTCACTGCTCCCAGCGAAGGAAATTCATAGGGACACGTACACCCTGACGCGGCAGTGAAATGTTTAACGAAGCTACAATGTTCAACTTGATTTCTCTCGCGGAGGAGGTTAACTCATTGACCCCTCCCCACCCCACCCGAGCGCGGCGCATTCAACCGGCCACGTGTTAATGCACCGCCACTTGTACCCTATTCACGGGTGGGTGCAGAATGCCGCAGTGAGGGGCCAACCCCGGCAATTGAGGCAAGGGACAAAATCCAAAATGCGTGTGCCCGCAGCACACGCACACGCACACTCACGCGCACGCGCACACGCACACGCACGCGCACACGCACGCGCACGTGCACATGCACACGGGCACGCACATGCACATGCACACGAACATGTACACGCACATACGCATAGCCACATGCAAATTTTCTCATTTACTGCAGTCATTGCCATTCGTAGCCCTGCTATGCTGCCATTCCCAACAAGATGGTGACAGGACAGGCCTTTTCCTCCGTAAGCCTGGTTTTTGGAGAAAGTGGATCAGTCGTTATGCGTTGTTCTCTCTCTCTCTCTCTCTCTCTCTCTCTCTCTCCTCTCTCTCTCTCTCTCTCTCTCTCTCTCTCTCTCTCTCTCTCTCTCTCTCCGTCCCGGTTCCCACCAATGATTGCTGCTGGAGACGCTGTTGACCGGTGCGCTGGTTTCCTTTGGAACTCCGGCTTTCGGTGTCATCCCATGAGGATGCTGAGGTTCGAACTGCACAGAATTGATACCCTGGTAACCAGAAGGAGTATTGATGCAAATGCTGGTGCCTTGTTTTTGTTGGTACATGAGTGTGAACTGCGGGGTGTGTCTGCCTAATATTTCGTCTGAAAGTAAAAACAAAACAAAACAAAACAAACGCGTCGATGCTCCGTTTCACGTTGGCGTTTTCAAACAGCGCCCGCCTTGGTATTTGGGGTGAAATGCACGAGAAGTAGGTAAATAACAGTTATAAGCATAATAAAACGCATGTTTTTTTCGTCAGAACCCTAGTTTACCTCGGGTGCCTTCACTACTTCTTCAATATGCGCCTTGTCTTCATTTCACGCTTGCCCGCGATGCATAAGTATTTTGTACCACGTGACCAAATCTGCAAGCGCAGAATGCCGACTTGGTACATGATGACGAAGCAAAGCGCCTCCGGAGGAATAGTGATCGGCTGCTGTGATGGCGGCAACATCGAACGATGCGTTTGACCCGTCTCCTTATTTCCCGCGCGTTTCAGATTTGGCATCAAATTGGTGCCCTGTCTCAAAATGGCAACGTGAATAAGATACGGCGTATCATAATACGCTGGTTCTTGCTCATTATTCCTGGAAGCAGATTCCAAGCAGCCTCGCCCTCACTTGATGATGTTTTGGTTATGCCACCAGTGTGGGCCGTTTGCCTTATACAAATAAAACGGGAATGCAAATCAGCAGGGGCGGCGTCAGGCATCGGGTACGGTAAACTATGGTAAACTATGGTTTGCTATAGTAAACTAGGGTAAACTATGGCTGACGGGTAGGGTAAACTACTATAGAGAAGGTAAATCGGCGACAAAATGCGAGACATGCATCTCATCTATGCATGCCCTACAGGTCGCTTGTACTGAGAGGTCAGTGAATAGAGCGCTTATGAGATCCCATAGCGTTTCCCAGTAGAAAGCCCTGTGGGTAGGACGCGACGTGGGTCAAGGCTCGTGGCTCAACGTTTTATAATATGCCAACTCTCTCTCTCTCCGTGTTTGTCTGACTCTCTCTCTCCTCTCTCTCTCTCTCTCTCTCTCTCTCTCTCTCTCTCTCTCTCTCTCTCTCTCCTCTCTCTCTCTCTCTCTCGCTCTCTCTCTCTCTCTCTGTCTCTCTCTCTCTCTCTCTCTCTCTCTCTCCTCTCTCTATCTCTCTCTCTCTCTCTCTCTCTCTCTCTCTCTCTCTCTCTCCCTCCCTCTCTCTCTCTCTTTCCAAGGCTCAAGGCCCTCAGGGGCTGAAGGGCTTTCCATCCGAACTCGGTGCACCTAACGGGTACAGTTCTAACGAAACGGCGCCTAAGGCCCCTAGTTCGATCAGAGGTATATAGCATGTGCAAGATATACTTCTATCTGGAGTAGAAAAATGTGATATCTGCTTCCAAAATTGAATGACAACTTATCTTCGTGACGTCATGTTCGTCTAGAAATGGTGAATGTCTTCTTCGTCTTCGTGACTTTCGTGAGAGCGGTAACAGCCATGACCACACACAACAGATCCGTCTGAAACAAAATGATGATAACGTCTTGATGTGATTTTAAGCTTGAGGAAAGCATCCTAAATATCAGTTCACCGTGCCAAGATCTTGCTCAATGAGACAGTCACTAGCAAAGGGTGGAACGCCCACTTTGACAGAGCTGAATTGAACAAATGAAAACACGCGAATGAAACTGCGAGGAATCATCATCTCGCAATGACAAGAAGACGTCATGAATACAACTAATGGCGGATATTCAGGCTCGTCACATGTTGAACATAGAAAAAAAAAATACGCAGAGAAATGTAGCGTTACGCTCACGCTCCAAGCGGCAAAAATAGAAATGACAAGAATAGGTGGCGTCAGCGCAGCCATCCACCAGGTAGCAGCAGTAGCAGGCAGCGCTAGCGCCACCTATCACTGTATCGTCCACTGCGGGCACGAGGCCAACTAACGCAGGAGTCCTCAATGATGCAAAATGATCACTTACCGACACATTGGGTCCAGAAAATGGCATATGCACCCCAGTTCGACTCATCAAGCTCCTGCCAAGAACTTCTTCCCCACTCGGTGCTGGGGCTTCCTAACTGCTACGAGGCCCTTCCATCGTTTCATTGTGGACCCCTTCAATGACATTTCTCATACATTCGTGCACTGCCAGAGTGCCGCCAACTAGCGTGACATTCCCTCTTATATGCAGGGTCCTGTCCCTGTCCCTGTTCAGCATATGGCCTCTGGCCGACTTAAGCCCCTGCTGACATAGGTTCTCAGTGCAGCATTTTGAGCCCCCATTCTTGCAAGGCTCTTGACCAATGGCAGCTATTGACATTTCAAGCTGAACAAGCCCCCCCTGTTCCACATTCCTACATCCCTGGTTGGCATATGTTGTTATCACAGGCTGCAACATCATTGACTGCAATAGCATGCACAGGTGACGACTCTTTCTTATAGTTCTGCCCGCATCAGACAACTTTGGTATAGATGACACCGTTGCCTCAACAGCAGATGTCAGCACCAAGCTGGAGTCTCATTGCATTGACCCTCCTGATTCCAAATAAAAGAGAAAATCTCGTCTATGCGTGTGCAGGTAAACCAGAGCGCTGAGTCCGTGCATATGGAAAATCAAGATTGGCGTACTGATGTGTAAGCAGTGCTTCAGAAAGGTCAAAATAGCATGCGTTTCAAACTTCTCTGCACAAGAATGCCTTGATACCAAAAGGCTACAATTATGGTACATCATTTCACCGGACATTGGTAAGGCTGCTGCCACGTCTGCCAGCAAGCATGGTTGATAGTCCAGCCGGACACGGACTCGTGTCCAGACTTTTGGCAACTTAGACTCGAGCTCAAATGATGCAGTTCATACTGCAGGCAAGACACCTTGAATCGGACTCGCTGATTAGTGAACCTAGGACTCGGACTTGAACTCAATGCATCACGACTCGGGCTCTTGAATCGCGAAAATAGCTCTCAAACACGGACTTATACAAAACATCCGGGGTGGGGTCTTGACTCGGACTTGGACTCAAGACACAAGGGCCTGGACACAGAATCTGACTCTGACTTTTGAACTAAGAGCCGACTGTGTGCGATCCGCACTCTACTCTCACTAGCGAGGATGGATCTCTCAGGGCAATGACCCCGCGGTCGCCTGAGAGCTAGAGGCCCGCCCTCCGAGATTCAGGAAAAATAACAGGACGGCGTGAGGAAATTTAATCAAATTTTCGCTGCCAGACAACATATAAATAGGGCCCATGTGTTATGACCCTTGTCTACTTAACCCAACCCCTACTAGCCAGTACATGTGCAGCTGCGCTTGTGGGTGAAGGCGTTTGAATTGAGCCTCAATTTTCCTTTGAAGGTAAAGTGACTGAAAGAGACTGCGTGATGTGACTACATATATGACCTGTCCGTTTCTTTAGGGCGCAGTGACCAGTGGAGTCGACGCATCTCTAAAACACAAATGGCAACAACAAAGTTTGGATGGAGGCATTGTGATTGACTGTTGGGATTTAAAATTAATGACGTTTTTTTCTAGAATCAACAATGTCTTAGCGTGGCAAGCACAGACCCACAACTCCTGATTTTGGTAATTTCTCATGCATGTTTATTAAATGAAGCTTTTGATGCACGGTGCTGCTCATCATCTGAATGTAGGTTCACAACTGAATCCACATTGATTGATAAAGATAGCAAAGTTCTAAGCCATTGCTCCTAAGCACAAAATGCTTGCATTTTTCCAGCCTCTGGCCTCACCGTCTTCCGTCGTAGTGGCCGGGTCTACACATCATTCGTGCGGCAATGCTCCGAGTCAGGGTCGAACTCAGTTTCTAACGGCTCTGAGTCAGAGTCGCAGACGGCCCAGTGGACTCCGATACAGGGTACATTTGAACCCCTCCCTCCACCAGGCTGTTCGACATGATCAAAGCCGCCGGCGTGAGCGATGTGGCTGAGCTGTGCAAGATCTTCGAAGTTGAGGTCAACATCTCTCAACACATTAACACATAAGCCTCATCGATGGAACTTGGATCACAACCTAGAGCTGCACTGACACATCATCGATCACGATGTCACCCAGCGCAGGTGGGCTCTCAAAATTATATGTATCTGATATGGGACGCAGCCCAACGTCCCTTCCTTAGCAGTGCAGCCCATGGCTGGATCGGCAAGCAGTTTTCGATGCTTTCTTTTTTGCCGACCACCATAAACACGCTACTGGCGTGCCGCGCCTCCCCATCTGCCATGTTGCCTCCCATTGGCTGTGGATGTCGCTGGGATTTCCTCAACGCCACATACACCGAGCAGTGGCGTTAGCAGATCTCAGCAATGACCGCCACTTATGCTCTCAGGAACTTCGTGCACGTCATGAAGCAAAATCATTTGTCATTGACATTCTCTCGCGATCAGCAGCAGCGTTCCTCAGCACAGCCGCACCAGCAGCAGGTCAGTGACCTACGGCCCTTCTCAGCCGGGCACGTGCTGCTTCTCCACCCGTCGCCGCTCAGCGGAAGCGCCCGTGATCCCCGACAGCTGTTTAATGTACATGCTGCGAAGCGTGACAGAAACCGTCGAGGGTCGCCTGGCAACGGCCTGGCCGGTGTCTTAACCCGGAGGGTCGCAGGGCAGTGCTCTGGCCAACGTCGAGGCCGCAGGGACAGTGCTCCGGCCAGCATCGAGGCCGCAGGGACAGTGCTCCGGCCAGCGTCGGGGCCACAGGGACAGTGCTCCGACCAGCATCGAGGCCGCAGGGACAGTGTTCTGGCCAGCATCGAGACCGCAGGGGCAGTGCCCTGGCCAGCGTCGAGGCCGCAGGGACAGTGTTCCAGCCAACGTCGAGGCCGCAGGGACAGTGTTCCAGCCAACGTCGAGGCCGCAGGGGCAGTGTTCCAGCCAGCATCGAGGCCGCAGGGACAGTACCCTGGCCAGCGTCGAAGCCGACGGGACTGCTGATCGGCGGGGCTTAGCAGGGTCGCGTCGAGCCGTGAGGTGACGCCAGCGGTAGTGACGTGACACCAGGGGTAGTGACGTGACGCCAGGGGTCGTAAAGTGACGCCAGGAGTCGTGAATTGACGCCAGGGGTAGTGACGTGACGCCAGGGGTCGTAAAGTGACGCCAGGAGTCGTGAATTGACGCCAGGGGTAGTGACGTGACGCCAGGGGTAGTAACGTGACGCCAGGGTAGTGACGTGACGCCAGGGGTCGTGAAGTGACGCCAGGGGTAGTGACGTAACGCCAGGGGTAGTGAAGTGACGCCAGGGGTCGTGAAGTGACGCCAGGGGTAGTGACGTGACGCCAGGAGTCGTGACGTGACGCCAGAGGTAGTGAAGTGACACCAGGGGTAGTGACGTGACGCCAGGGATAGTGACGTGACTCCAGGGGTAGTGAAGTGACGCCAGGGGTCGTGAAGTGACACCAGGGGTCGTGAAGTGACGCCGGGAGTCGTGAAGTGACGCCAGGGGTAGTGACGTGACGCCGGTGGTAGTGACGTGACGCCAGGGGTCGTGAAGTGACGCCAGGGATAGTGACGTGACGCCAGGGGTAGTGACGTGACGCCAGGGGTAGTGACGTGACGCCAGGGGTCGTGAAGTGACGTAGGGCGTCGCGACGTGACACCAGGGGGCGTGGAGTAACGCTAGGGGTCACCAAGTGACATCGGGGTCTCTCTCGTGACGCCGCTCTCTCAGACGCCAGGGCGGTCGGTGTTCAGCAGCCTCGCAGCAGACGCAAACGCCGGGGTTTTACGCTTCCTTTCGGTGTAGCCGAAGCGGCCTTTGTGTGAGTTTGTGGCTTCTTGGTACAGCGGCAGCATTTACGCTTCTTTAGGGTGTCGCTGAAGCGGCATTTATGTGAGCTTGTGGCTCCTTGGTGCGGTGGCATCGTTAGCGCCTCCTTAGGGTGTGTCTGAGTCGACATTTAAATGAGTTTGCGGCCTTTTGGTGCAGAGACGGCTTGCTCGGGCGTCAGGCAAGCGGAGGCTCATCAACAATGTCGTAAATCACCACGTCGTTAGGCTGTTCCGAGTTACGACAGTTTCGTAACAGTCCGTCTCACTAACATGAGGCCGTGGTTGTGTAAAACCTTAAATCACAATGTGTGGGAGCATCCTGTACTGAAGAAGCATTCTGTGCTTCGGTGGGCGGCGCCGGAATCATTCTGTGCTCCAGTGGGCGGCGCCGGATTCAGATCCAGATGAAGAATGACTTATGTTCTGGCGAATGACACCGTACTTCAGCACTTTTCCCAAATCCGATATATTTGTCTACAGAGACTGGGCTGGGTACATAGCGCGCTGTCATAGTCAAACCTGTTGGCGTTGCAATAGCGCGGAATAATGAAAGGCGAACCTCAATGAAAGTTATATTCAATGATAGCGATTGCTGGTACATGACGCATCACACCATTTGGACATGGGAGGGTGCTTCACTCTCCGAATAATGAGTTTATTTTAAGTGTTAATTTAGCTAATGTGCAACTTCAAGTTTTTGTTCAGATGGGGACCATTCATCACTGAGACTTACGACACAAGGCTACAATGTCCTATGTACATCATACAACGAATACCAACACACCTGAGGAAGATGGGCGATAGGAATGCTTGGGTGATGAGTTAGAGGTCGGAGGTGAAGACTACGGAAGATAACCGGTGATACGGCGACTGATGTGATGGCTCAGTGGTTGTTTGTCGTGATGTGAGCGTTTGTAATATCGGGGTTGACATGACATGTAAAATCCAACACCAGCTGAAAAAAATGCAGCTGCGTGTCTGAAAAAAACTTCTGGGGAAAAATTTAAAAATCCAAAGGAACGGTCAATCCTGAATTGCTTGTTTTCTGTCTGGGACCGATATAGATGTTGTTCACATGAATCAAGTCACCGTCAGTAGTATGCGTCGATGATGTAGTTAATAGTATAGCAGCATATATCGCTCATAGTTTAGACATGTCATGTGCTGGGGTCTTAGTAATCTCCACGGAGACGCGCCCCTGACTGAAAACGGTGTCGGACAACACCCATGTTCGGTGTCAGACCGCACCCGAGTGGGGACTCAGGCTGTACCCGAGATCGGAACAGGACCGCACCCAAGTGCGGAACCAAACTGGACTCGAGTGCGAAGTCGTTCTACACCCATGAGTGGAATCGGAACGTATCCGAGTCCGAACTGAGGCTGTATCCGAGTACGGAATCAGACTGTGCTTGAGATCGTGTCCGCCTGTCGCCAGGTGCGCAGCAGCATGCGGTCGCTGCGCCTGTGGCGCCAGCTCCCGGCGCAGCTGGCGGCGCTGCTGTTGCTGGCAGCTGCTGCGCGGCCGTCGCGCGCCGTCGCTGGCCTGCCCGGCGGTCCGGAGCTGCCGCAGTCGGTGAGGGAGGCACTGCAGCAGGTGGAACGGCGCCTGGAGCACGCACAGACGCAGACCGCGCAGCAGCAGGCGGCCAGCACGCGTCAGGCTCTGGACGAGCTGCAGGACAGGCTGGAGCGGAAGCTGGACGAGATCACGAGGCTGGTGGGTTTGGCTAATGCAGGAAACAGGGGTGCAGTCATGTTGTTTAAATGAGTTAAGCTCGTCTCTCTCAGATCTTCAAAGCCTTAATGATGATCATCACTAAACAGCGCTTGTCGGAGCTCTCGTGGATGTGTTCGTCCACCGAGAAACTTTCATAGGAAACTCTGGCGTCGTTGTAAGTGTCATGGGTCCGCGCCAACGTCAGGTCCGGGCATTGGACTAATAGGCCACAGATGCCAGTCTGTAAAGCATGCTTGTTGAGTTTGGGCCATAAGCCTGCGATGAGCGCTTTGTTGTCATTTGTATCCATCACCTTGAGTAAAAATGAATTCGTCTAAATCCATATCTTACCTTATCTAAATTTAAGCGAAAAAACAACGTGCTTAATTACATGCTACTTGGCCATGCTCGTGAGGGCACCAAAACAGCATAAAAGGTCTATTTTGAAAGAGGTGAATCTATCGTTGTATGCACTAAGTCACACGTGTGCCTAGTTTTAAGCAGAAGTATGTTTTGTTGAACTGCATGCAAGATGCTTACTTGCATTGTTTTGAAAACTTGCCGCCAGTGCCCTACTTTTGGCCACTCTATAAACCCCATCGCGGTTCGTGAGGATTTTTTTTGCCAACCAAGTACGACCAACGTTTAATGAAACAGCCGCCAAGCATAGAAGTCACGTTTATGATGGCTGTTGCATGGGGCTCTTGAAGCTGACAAGTTTGAACATACGAGTACTTCACCTTTATCCGGGAATGGGACGTTCACCTCAAATACGCCACACATGACATGAATCAATGACGAGTCCAGTGGCAGGCGTCCGTTACCGCAGCGTCCCCTTTACCACCCATGTTTCGGCGTCCGGCCGCCAGGTGTCTCAGCTGTCGGGCGGCGCGGCCGGCGCGCCGACGGAGAGCGTGCAGCAGTGCGCGCTCTCCTGCTCGGAGGGCCGCGACTGCCTGGTGGTGGACTACCGCTCCGCAGACCACTGCCGACCGCTGCAGCGGCTCGAGCGATGCGACAACGTCACGTCGGCGGCCGCCTCGGCCGGCTACTACGTCAGTGTGACACAGACGTGCGCGCGCTCCTGCCTGCAGCTGCTGCGACAGGAGGCCGGCACCAGGTCAGCCGGCGGCTGCGTGCGACGCGGCTGCCTGCAGCTGCTGTCGCGGGACTCGGTGTTGGCTGGCTGTCCGCTGGCTGTCTGTTTAAGAGCGGTTGTGGTTGCGGTTCGGGTTTGTGTGTTGTCATGTATGCAGCAAGTCAGAGATAATGAAGTGTTGGCATGCATCAGATGGTACCAGAGATTTGTCTCTCTATAAATGGGCCTTGATCCATCCCTCTTCCCCGCCCATGCCTGTCCCGACCCTCTCAATATTTGTGTTTTATCATTAAAATCTCCAATATACCAAAAGCACGAGCCACGTCTCCGAGGGCATTTGTTATTCCGTTCCCAATGTACTTTGCTGCACTCCCGTTATGGCTCACAAGCGGCGCAGTTGGTTCGCACCACGCCGATGCATTCTTTCCATGCATGGTGACCATTAGGTACCGGCACGCCTCTACGGCCTCGGTTATGCGAGGTTGTATTTCAAGGGAATGGTATCCCAAGGTGGCAATGCCAATTTCGTCTTTGTGGTGAAGAGCGGTGCGCCATTTTCAGTTAGCAGCTGCAATATCTTTCGGATGTTTTGCTATCTTGTCAAGTTGAGTCGAGGATTCCAATCGCTCTCGCGTGTAGAGTGTGCCGTGCCATGATATAGCCTGTATCCTCCCGGGGGTGGCGTGTACGCGCTGAACGTCAGGGGTGAGTCACACCCTCCCACTTGTGTCCTCGCAGGCACGGCGGCCTCAGCTGAACCTCAGGGATGCACCACACCCTCTGACCCATGCCCTCCCAGGGACGGGGTGTGCCGGCTGAACCCCAGAGGTGCGCCACACCCCTTATCTGTGCCCTCCCAGGGACAGCGTGCACCAGCTGAACCTCAGAGGTGCGCCACAGCCTGACCTGTGTCCTCCCAGGGACAGCGTGCACCAGCTGAACCTCAGAGGTGCACCACACCCCTGACCTGTGTCCTCCCAGGGACAGCGTGCACCAGCTGAACCTCAGAGGTGCACCACACCCCTTATCTGTGCCCTCCCAGGGACAGCGTGCACCAGCTGAACCTCAGAGGTGGGCCACAGCCCTGACCTGTGTCCTCCCAGGGACAGCGTGCACCAGCTGAACCTCAGAGGTGCACCACACCCCTGACCTGTGTCCTCCCAGGGACAGCGTGCACCAGCTGAACCTCAGAGGTGGGCCATACACCCTGACCTGTGCCCTGCCAGGGACGGCGTGTACCGGCTGAACGGGTTCGACGAGCCGGTGTACTGCGACATGAGCCGTGACGGCGGCGGCTGGACGCTGCTGCTCACCTCGACGGCGCAAGACGGCTGGAGTCTGGAGACACTGCTGGAGCGGGCCGCCTCCAGGCCGGCCATCGACCGCGACTACTCCATCTTGCGCTACGCCGACCGCTTCAAGGCGCTGGGCAAGAGTGACAGGTTCCTCTACAGGTACCGACTGCGGTAGACGTGGGAGAAGTGGCCTTTGAAGAACGCGCTGTTAATCGTTCAGCTCTCCAACGTGGCGTCCGGGATGCCCGGCTTTGGATACGAGGACGGCCAAAGTGCTGACATTCACAGCTATAAAGTCAGAGAAACGCTGGTGTTAGCCACGTTTTGTAAGAGCACATGCACACTGATCACATATTTAAGTCTGATTTGACAAGACGAAGGATTTGATTTCGTTGCAAGCATTGGAACTACAGCGTGAGTTTTTGTGACGCATTGTCCTTTATAAGCATGATGCACACCGCTTTAATGGGTGCGATTCATCTGCGAAAACGTTAAAGCCCGGATGTGTTATTCTGGAGCACTAGCGAATATCGAATCATTTGCGACCTACGGAGCTAGCGCGGGGATAACATACGAATTACTTTCATTCATTTTTGTCTGCACTTAATCAACGTTCAAGCACTGCGCATAACGCGTAAATCGTGCTGTCCAAACAGCAAGCGCCGTGTCGTCTCGCGTCGTACGGGGTACGTGTGCATGTCGTGACAGAGGCAGGACATCCGTTCGGTGTCGTGCGACCGTGTGCTCGAGACGCAGCTGCCGGAAGCGTCCCAGTTGCGTGGCCCAACCACTACGTGTGAGCCAACACTCGCCTGATAATTTCGAGGCCGTCGATTTCAGTGCTTGCCGCGTGACAAGTTTCGATATCTCCCCGCCATCAGCGCGAGATATCGCGGCGTTATTAATCATGGTAGCTCCGCGCGTTCTAAAATGGACCAGACGCGAGAGCGATGTTCTTATCAGGGATAACGAGACAGAGACTGGCTTTACTACTACGGTCAGTGTATACGCTAATGGTGTAAGACACGTCAGGTTCTCATGGATGACGCACGTGCTGACGTGTCAGGCTCGAGGCGCAAGCGGAGAAAGGACGCGGTCGTTGGGGCGGTGTCTGGTCCGCCCCCGCCAGCTACAGCTTCACCCACAAACTCACCAACCAGACCGATGTCCAGCTGCTCAAGAAGTTCGGCAAGTGGGAGTACGGCATGGAGAGTATCCAGGTGATGGCATAATAGTGTAGGCTATGGATGTAATATGATGCCATAATAGTGTGGGCTATGGATACAATATGATGCCATAGTAGTGTAGGCTATGGATACAATATGATGCCATAAGTGTGCAGCTATGAATCAGAGGGACTTCAATGCAATGATGCATGAACACCGGAGGTGAAATCGTAGAAAGAGAGGCTGCACTTGATAGTGGACTACTTTGTTTGCAAGTGCTGATGCATTTCTGTGACCGAACAATGTTGGTAGCAGTGATGAACGGCTTAGTAAAGACAGTTTTAGATCTCTACCACCGTTGTGCCGTTTCTCAGCGTGTTTTTTCAGCGTTGTCAGCCAGCCTCTGAACGACAACGATCCTAGCACTTCACCTGGCCATGCACGCAGTGGCATGGGATACGAGACAGGGACAAGAAACCGCGCCCATGTACACTGTTCCTCTTCTGAGATAGCGGGCTACATCAATCTCTTAACTCTGCCAGGACACCCCTTACGACAACTGAGACTTTGAGATAATCTGTCAAAATTAACAGCAACGTCTCCCACGTAGCCCTGCGGCAACGTATTCAGCTTATCGCACCACCTGCGCGATGACCTTCGAACATCGCGCTTTACTATACCGTAACGGACTTGCTTCTTATGTCGATCGGATCCCATGCTTCTCTCCACATCGACGTCTGGCGTGGTCCGTCGGACGTTACGCCCCCTCACGCACCACGTGAAGAGCTCGGATGCTGCACCTCTATTACAGCAAAGTCCTGGGCAAACCCTTCAAACATCGGACCCCCTGGAAACGACGCCCTGTGCGGACGACTACATGCTCGCAAAGAACATCTCTGCGCTGTCCCCTCGTGGAAACAGCTAGTGTGAGGCGCTGCTACAGTTGGCATTCACGGCGGTGATAAGCGACCTGCGCGTACCCCCTCTGACATCGCTGACGTCATTCACCGCACCGTTCCGCCTGAGGCCAGTTCTGAACCGCGCCTCCCCTTCAGCAACGCCTGCCGTGGATCAACGCCGGCGGCTACTCGAGCGGCAAGCCTCTGCTGACGACCACGGACCAGTGGCGGACGGGCACCTTCTGGGGCACGCTGGTCACGCGGCCCGAGCAGCGCGCCTACCGCCACAGCCCGTGGGTGTTCGGCACCGTCGCCCAGCACTCGGGCACCGTGCTCTACTGGCTCCGAGAGGAGAATGTCTAGACGGTGTCTGGCGGTCGCTGCCGAGAGGAGTGAGGGACACGAAGGAGCTGCCGGTCGGAGCGTTAGAGTTGGAGATCGAGTTAGAGTTAGAGTTAGAGTGTGCGTTAGAGTTAGTGTGCGTTAGAGTTAGAGTGTGTGTTTGAGTTAGAGTTAGAGTGTGCAGGGTGGCGCATGGTGAGGACGCACCGCGATGCTTCTTCTCTGCAGCGTCGAAGAACCAAGCTGGTTCAACACAAATAAGCCCCGGCCTTTGTTCAATCGTAGAGGTGAAGATTTTGGCTGACTGCCGGAAGAAAGACAGCTGATGTGGTTCGTTGATCATGTTCATGCAAGTTTCTTCGTTTCCGTAGCATAGAAGGAGGAGGGGGGGGGGGGGGGGGAGCGTGCTCAGTGAAAGCCATCTCTCCACGAGAAAGAAACGTGGATCGAGAATGATGCCACGTAGAAAGCCACGAGGAGAGCTATACACGATGCTTGGTGAAAAATGACGTTGTTGCATGCCGCTGCGTCTCTGTTTTTTCGAATCCAGTTTAGAGGCGAGAGAAATGATTGACGAGGCAGTTCTTTGGGGGCTCCTGTAGCAGTGGTTCTGCGATGAGTGGCTACGCAGAGTGCTGGAGACAGAGAGTCGCAGCAGTGCAGCACCCTGTTCCGCTTGTGCTTGCGTCTCCGTGTTTAATGTCCCAGTGTCGAATGGAATGTTACTGCTTCTTTTGCCGGGAAATCGAAGATGTCGTGCTTCTTTGGATCAGCGGCACCGCAAATGCGGGACACTTTTTATAGCTTTGTTTGACATCTAAGAGGAGAAAGCAGCTCAAAGTACATTCCCTTCACACAAGAGGTGTGCTCTGGGGTGCACACACGCGAGGGATGTGAACTGCTGGGGCTGCGAACTGCTGGGGATGTGGTTGCGAAGGATTCGCAATGCCACCGCATAGTTGAGCGATGTTTGGTGTTCACGATTGTCATCTGTAGTGACGCAGCGATGTTGGGTGGCATGAAAGAAAGAAGAGCTGCCCCATGCTGCTAACTGTACGAGTGGTACTGGGAATAGCACGGTAATGGATTTTGTGGTGGGTAAATTATTCCTGTACCACCGTTGTCGGCGGTCTGGTACGCGTTCATCTCGTTCAGACGTCCGTAGAATATACAGCAATACCCGATGTTTGGCTGCTGCCATCTACTTTTCGTGTAAACAATGACCGGCGGTTGCAGTGGACTCAAGACGCTTGGGCGGGCACGATTCTGATCGCAAGTTCTTTAATATTGCCAAACAAAGAAGGAGCCCTTTCCCCGCCATACCTAACCTTGAGTTGGTAGCCAAAGGGCGTCTATAGTCTACAAGGTACGGATGAAGACTACGTAAGTGGACCAGAGGCTAACAACAAAATCGGGGATCCGATCCGCTCTTCTAGGCGTAAACATGTCAGGAGCCTCACAAGTTTTATGGCGGCTGCAAACAAACCAGGTTCCTGCGCGGTTGCGGTCGCTTACCGTGCCGATATCTTTCAAGGTCATTAGTTTCTTGATAATTTGTATGCATGTTTTAATGAATTGCTAGTTCACCAGTTCACGCTTGCTGTTTGCGGGCAATCCGAAGTCAAGTGTCAGGTGAGGTCAAGAGGTCAAGTGCTAAGTGAGGTCAAGAGGTCAAGTGGTAAGTGGGGTCAAGAGGTCAAGTTTCAAGTGATTTCAAGAGGTCGAGTGTTAAGTACTTGACAGGAACCCGGGAAATAAATGTGGGGAAGGAATGATGTGCAAGACCGGGGCCTGTTATGATTCGACCCTGCAAACTTGAATATTTTTGGCTCATCTGTAGAGTCGGGCGAGCCCACAAACATTGTTGGTTACGTCCTCTACAATGTCATTCGCTACATGAGTCTAAATATTTATTGATTGCCTGGAATGTCCTCAGCTCATTACATGTGCTACGTCTCAACCACCAGTGTCAGTGCGTATAATCGTCGATTAGCGGGACACCGACAGCGCGCGCAAATGTCACCTAAATGAGGTGACAGCCAGCTTTGGCGTCGTGCAGTACGTGCAGCAAGGGACCCTGAAAACTTCGACTGAGGCGACCTACAATATAATATGATAAAGTCAGCTCTAAGTCAAACAAGCGCTGGTAAGCACATCATTTTGACATATAGTATTCCTCAAATTATCAGACCATGTGACTGTTAGGATTATTACTTTCTTCGAAATCAAAACGAAACGGTGCCTTCAAGTAATTTAGCGCGTCGCGTAATGCTTGGCCTTCCAGTTTTAAATCGCTATGTTTTCTGTCGAAGAGAAAAGTTAACCTCCCTAGATATTTGAGCATTGTCCGAAAACATATCACCCATCCATTACCACTGACATATGCACCAAATGGCATACGTCACTGGATGCAGACATCCCATAGCATGCACATGCACCCCCTGCTGACATGATATAACTACATTCTCTTACCCGACGCACATGCATAAACAAACTTAAGTCACTTAAGTTACTGAGAGAACAGCGCGACATGTCATGTGGCCGGACGTTCCATGCCGGCGATGTCGGACCCACATCACGAAGTAGGTGGGCACAAGTTAAGACCTTAACGCGGGGATTGTGTTGTCTGGAGTAGCCAGTCTATGCGTTGTCTCTGGTGTGTTGGCGTAACTCTACGCTGTTTATTCCGCACCGATGTTGCACTTACGTTAACCACATATTTATCACCATAAGGGTGGTCACAATGTGTTGCGTCCAAAATAAGAAAGAAAATGGGATTTCACACTTGGTTCTCTGTTTATGAATTAATGATTTAAAAGCCCTCATGGTCGTGGGCAATAAAAAGAGCAAGCAATCAAAGTCCCGCTATAAAATATTCATTGATATGCCTACCTGACATTTTTGAAACATACCAACGCACACAAATGCACGTAATTCTCCCAAATTCCTTAACCGCCCCAGCCCGTTTTCCGTTATATCTGGACGTGGTACAGTATCTGTGAGTTTTTTAAAATGTGCACGGGAAGAAATTCGCTCCATCCGGCGGATTTATTTAAATGTCGGAACGAAAACTCGTCACAAGTTGTTGTGCATTTACGAGCATTTATAAAAGGCCTCAGACATCAAACGCATGAACAATTACTCAGGTCAGCTTTACGTATGTGGCTAAAACGAACAGTCCGCAAGTTGCCATTCATTGCATCCCCACCCGGTAAGTGCAATTCCCTATTCAGCTGCAGAGTTTCCGCTCTTTAATTTAGAGAAGGGGTTCGAATTCGAGAAGAAACGCGTTTTCTCTCGTATTTTAGGGGTACGCCCAACCGCGTTTCCCTGCTTAGTCCCCGAATTTATTTTGTGGAAGCACGCCACTTATCTGCCGCATTACGCTTCATCGTTAAAATACACCGAACATCGCTCTGCGACCGTGTTTCCACCCACCTGCCACCTGCCGGACACTGCGCAAACCAGACAGTCGGCTGCCGTCATGAGCGCGCCAAATTTCGCCGAACCGGCCTGGTGACCTTGAGATTGGCGCGCCGCCGCGTTGCAAGCCAAGGCTCGAGGCCCCAGTTGGGCGGCGAGCGCGGCGGTGGGTGGTGGGAGCGGGCGTTTGGGCGTGACCTGGCCCGACCTGGTCTGACGTGACCCCAGCGGAGCGGCGTGACCCGGGGGGAAGGCGGTCAGGGGTGGACAAGGTGCTAAACGCTGGTGAGTACCGGTTGATGAGCAACTAACCGGAGTAGAGGAGAGATGCGGGCCGATTTGGTAGGGGCCAGGTTTCCGTGGTTTCGGTCTATTAACGTTGTACGTTGTGTTTGTCTCTGACAAAGAGTTTGAAAATTGAATGAAGTGGAACGTTTCCAATCACTTCGTGTGTTAAAGGCAAACGGTGATTCTCACCAATTTACCTACATTTGGCAGTATTGCATCGACCTTGAAAACAAACAAACAAATGACATTCTCGTACTTGGCCATTCAGTCAATTCTCACCGAACAGGTAAATTTGGTCATTTGACCACATTTCCTTGATGCACTCCACCGACGACCTTGTCTCGGTGTCGTGCAGCATAGTTCGCAAGCATACAAGTTTGCAGCATACGTGCTTTAGAGATCATACCCACCTAGAAACTTACCTGCATGTCACCAACAGACATGTACCTGACCTACTGCCGAAAACAAGAATGTTGATCCTTGAAGCGACCAGGAGACGACATGCTGTTTTTGTTGTAACAGGAACGTTGAGTGTTTATTTATGTTTGTGTGGGACGTGCCGCCCTCGTACCCCTCCCCCAAGCGTATCTATGCGCCGAGGGCAACTAGAGCTTCAGGTGACGCTGCGGAGGCAGCCTTGATCGGCCCGGGAGTCTGGATCTGAGTGACAAGATGATGATGATGCCGATGATGCTGGCCGAGGAGTCTGAGTCTGAGTGACAAGATGATGACGATCCCGATGATGATTGCGATGACGACGACTTCGATGATGATGCTGATGCTGATGCTGATGACGATGATGAAGATGATGGTGATGTTGCAGATGACATGATGCGACATGACATGAGTGTCATGGAGACTGATCGGTGGGCCTCTACGTAGTGGGTATGGCTAGTGGCCCACTAGCCATACCAACTAGTAGTGGGCATGGCTAGTAGTGGGATATGTAGTAGTCCCACATCTCACTAGTAGTGGGATATGTAGGTACACACGACTGCGCAGTAATGGTAGGCCGGGAGGGATAGTCCGATGGTTTCACCCTCGTATCCCGGGGGAGGAGCGCGCGACTCTGCGCCGTGAGCAGAGCTCGCAGACGGCTGGCGTCCCACGGCAGGTGGTGGCAGCCTCCGACTGCAGCTTCGGCTCGCGTCATTGGCATTTTGTGATTTGTTCTTGTGGGGTATGGCTTGTATGGGCTTGTGGAACAAGTAGGGCCATTAATCCTTGTCGTATGAGTCACGTCTTTGGCATGGATAAAACGAAAGGGACCGGGAGTGGGGACTGTAAAGGCTACCAATGCAGCGAAAGTTCAACGAGTGAACGCGGCAATATGTCTCTGTGGGCAGCCATGGGCATGGTCGTAATCGATCAGCCGTGCTCTTCGATTGGTGGCGCCAAGCTGCCAGCCATGTGCAAGGCTCTCAAGGAGTTACTCCACACCAAACAGTGAGCTTCCGACAGGAAGGCTGCCCTCGAAGCAGTAGTGGAAAATGATCCGGCGCTTCGGACTGGATCCTCTATCACGGATGAAGTAGCCACTCAGACTATCGTGGTCGTCGTCGTCGGTGCGTTAGAATGCTCACAACGTTTCGGGCAGTCGTCCGACCGTCGTCAGGTGTTGATTGAGTCCTGAGAAGGACTGGAGATGTTTGGTTTTTATCTCGTCATGTCGAGCAGGCGACACACCAGACGAGGACGCTAGTTCAAGCAGCTGTACCATCTGTGATACTAGTACCTCGTCTCAATGCTTCTGTAAAACTGTAACAATTGGCCATCGGTTGGGTTGTCTTGCAATCACGAAGAGAGAGAGAGAGAGAGAGAGAGAGAGAGAGGAGAGAGAGAGAGGAGAGAAGAGAGAGAGAGAGAGAGAGAGAGAGAGAGAGAGAGAGAGAGAGGAGAGAGAGAGAGAGAGAGAGAGAGAGAGAGAGAAGAATAGAGAGAGAGGGGAGGGGAGAGAGAGAGAGAGAGAGAGAGAGAGAGAGAGAGAGAGAAGAGCTTAGAGAAGGAGGAAGAGGAGAGAGAGAGAACAAGCCTCTGAGCCACTCTCCTAAGCTTCTCTCCTCCTACTCCTAACTCTTGGAGCCTCCGATAACTCTGCCGTCTCTCAGGGTCTCTTCTCTTTCTAGGACGTTGGAAGATTCTTGTAGTGCAGCCACATCAACACCTCATCCCACAATCTGCCTAAGTTCTCCGATCACCGAACTCCAAGGACACGTTGGTGCACTCCAGGCGCACGCTGAGGTGCGCTTGCGTCGGGAGTGAGGACGCTGGCAACAGTCGTATACAGACACGCATAACCAAACCAACCAACGGGGCTCCCTGGATACCATAGCACCCCATCCTCTGAGAATGATGAGCATTATCTCTACGACGACGCATTAAATGAATCGACTTCAAAATTGCTATAGTGTCTGCCTACTTATCTCTGCCCATGTGTATTCAAAATATGTAGCTCACACCAACCGCTCCGCACCATTCGCTGCGCTGATGAATACCCTATCAACATGGAGCTGACGTGGGTTAACATCCCCCCCCCATTCTGGGCAGGGTCGATTTATGGCGGAATGCAGCTGGATGAGCAATATGGTATCGTTGGAAAGTCCGACGGTTCTAAACAAATTGACAATGGCCATTTTTCTTCCTGTCTTGTAGCACACTCACACGTCAACTTCGGCGCCGAATTTGACAGGCATGGGTGTTCCACAGAAATCATGTTTTGAATCACGGCTTAGCGGAGGGAGCGAAGGATTTGGCACCTCATTCAGGTAAACGTGCTGTCAAATCAACAACCTACGACTCTGGAGCATGCTTTCTGAAGGTCAACTTAGGTCGATGACCATCGGGCAGTGAGGGGCACCGTATGGTCGGAGCGGATTTCACCAGCTGTCAACGACTGGTAGCTATGCGAGATATTGTATTGGTCGTAACCGGGCAGGCGCCTGGCGAAACCCATTATCAACATCGAACAGCATGACCATTTCTGCCACATCTATTCTGAATCGCGTCAGGATTCGGCTCCATCAAACAGCGCGATACCAAGGAAGCGTTGGGAATTGCTGATAGTTTAGTGCCGGACGGTAGGCATTCAGGGCACAAATCAATAAACCTGTCGACTAGCACCCCATCGTTGCAGGCGTGGTGAGAGCTGGCCGTTAGTACACGTCGGCGTGTCGTTTATTATAGCCGTAATGACTCGACCAGCCGCGAAAGTAAGGACAACGCGCACATTGCCTGCCCACGTGGCGTTGCAGTCCAGCTGCTGCACGTGCAGAACTAGTCAGACGCGCCCCGCGGCACCTCCGTTGCGGAGATCGCCGTCCGCTCGTCAACCTTGGGCCGCCGTCGCGTCCGGGCAAGACGATCGGGGCAAGTGATGAACTCCGCAGCCACTGCTCTAACTCAGGGGGTACTTGCAGCGCGATGCTGTGGTGGGCGGCAGTAGCCAGAGTGGTCGCTTTTAGTCCTCTGCTCGTGCGGAGAGTGTCAGCTCTGTCACAGGTCCAGGGCCTGGCGCGGATCATGGATGTATTCTGGCGGGATGCTCATGGAAACATGATAGTCGGCACGGGTGCGCGAAGGGTGATCACAGCCCCTGTCATGCGTTACAATGAACACAGCTACATCACGTACGACCACATATTGAGGCGTTAAAACATGCTACCCGCCCAGTTAAGTCATTCATCGTCATGGACACAATTCGAGTTGGACGCTGATGTCATTGGGGGCAACGTGCTCAGTTGATGAATCTTTGTGGTGTCGCCTGCCTCTCATTCTAGTTGGAGGGGGAGGGGAGGGGGCACCGCGAGGAGTCGAATCCCGTACCTCTGGCTTCCCAGACTCGCAGCTTAACCGCCGTCACTCGTCACTTAACCGTCACAATGCCGTCACTTGACTACCGTCACTCTTGAATGTTGATAGTGGCAACCTCCCTTCAAACACGAGTGTGAACAGTTGGCTGAATATCTTGGTGATTTCAGTTTTTCGCCATTGCACGGGAGGCCCATCCCTTGACTCGTCGCTCATCGCATGCCGTGAGTGACAGCAGTCTCTCCCCATGGCCGCGGCCGTGGACGCCCCTCGCGTGCTGCCGGGCGTTCCGCGTGGGCGTGCTGCGGCGCGCGTATGCCGCCGTTCCCACGTGAAGTACCGGCTAGTCACTCCGTACCCAGCCATGACCCTGTGGAGGCGGATACCAGCCAATTGTCGGCCGGGAAGTGCTGACGCAGGCAGGCGGAGGAAAATTCGCCAACGACGCTTGACGAGGTTGCGTGCATGGGCCTGCGCAGTGCGCGGCACGTGGTGGTGCGCCGCCACGTGCTGCTTTGGCTTGAGCAGCTGTGGCTGCTCATATGCCACACTGGTCGAACGAACGGCGCTATCTTACCAAGTCTCCGCTCGTCTCCGTTTCCCGTTCTAGGGGAAGCGCAGTGGAGCTCTGGGCATTCGTCTTGCCTACTGGCCAGACTTGTGCGCTGCCATGTGCTGTACCGGGGTGCGGTGGAGCGGTTCCCTCCCAGTTCCCCAAAGCGATGGAAGTGTACAGTAGTCAATCGGCCTGTGTGTGGCTATTGGTATCATGACATTACCCGTCAAACAACGCAAGTTTTCCTATCATTATTGAACCACCTCCAGGACGAAGCCCTCGCCTCCTTGTAGTCAATGCAAACGTGGCCCGGTACAGGCGGCACTCTTGGTTTCATGGCTTTGGGAATGCAACTATGCCGCTGATAACGTCGGAGCGAGCGTGCATACAAAATGGGTACCAAAGAGATGTGGCTGCATCTATTTGGGTGGTATGCCGTGCTATTCCAGCACAGGCGATGCTCCCCATTTCGTGATGTTAAAATGCCGGATTGTCGTTTGAGTGCATGCAAACAGAGCTGCACTTGCACGACCATATCATATCTTCGTATGTGATCAAATGCTTGGACTACACGGCGCAGAAGTGCGCCGAAAATGTGTATGACATTTTGGCTTATTTAGACCGCCAGGCTATC